TCTGCCAAGCTATTGTAGCAAAGAGGCTGTTTATACCTTCGGCAATTGAAGTTCACTTGCAAAAAGTCTATTTCATGAACCAGCACATGATGTCTTTATCACCTTCAGAGTGAAACTTTCTAAGCATTACTGCATTGTGCAAAACTCCACAGGTGAGTATATACCATTGGTATCGGCCAAGCGAAACTGTCGTGTACAGCGGGAGCGATTGTTGTCAAACAAAAGCAAACATGTTAAACAACTTGAAAAGAAGAATGAAACTAACTAGAGCAAGATGACAATTTTTGAGAGAAAGAAATGCAACAAACATAATATATGACTCAAAGTGTAACATAGAGAGAGCGAGAGGAAGGAAATTATAAGAAAATAAAGGGACCAAAACATGAAAACATACCAACACATAGAAGCAGACATGAAAAATTGACTTTAAAATATAGGAACAAAGAAAACAAACAAAAATGAAGCACAGTTGGAAGCGGAGAGATATAACCTCTGGGAATAAAGGAATAATCGAAATATAAAGGCACCAACAGACAAAAACACAGGAGAGGAAAGCAACAGTTGTGAAGAAATGAGGATTAGATATGGGCCACATTACAGAGGAATAAATTCCCCCATCTGTGCTTTCCTTCAGTGTTCGCCCAGCCCCTAGAACACTACCATATCTTTTTTTTTTTTACGATTGCATGTCATTTGGCATCAACAGCATGTCTGACTCCCAAATCCGGACATTTGAGAGTGCTGCTAAACATGTTTTGTATGTCTTAATTACACGCTCCTCTATGGAGTGCACAAAATGCGCTCAAAGCAGAAGCTACTTTGCATTCTTTTTTAAAACAGCACAACTGCAATGCATAGGCAGAATTAAAGCGTAACACCCTCCCCCCCTCCCTCACCGCGCACTAGATATTATGCATTGCAAATGCCGCACGTTCACAAAAGCACACATTCCCTTGGCCAGACGATGACGTACAAACACAGCAAGGAGCATGCGCTAGGTGAGTTGGCAACTGCGAGCAGTATTTCGAACGTCTGAGCTTTATTATCAGCTATACAATGTTCTGTCATGTCGATTTCGATGTTAAACTCGGAAAGTCGCGAGAACAAACGTGCACACAACTGCGCTCGCATACATCACAGTCAATACATCTCATGCAAACTAAAACCTTGCAGTACAAATACCAATATTTTCATTGTTCATTCATTGGCAACGCCAGCCATGCAGTACACACCTGTTCTTGCTTATATAGCTACTGAAACAAAAAATCTCGGTACTTACTCGACATGCCGAACATGCTTCCGATCTCTGCCCAAGCCCGGTCCTTCTTTGTCCGATCTTTAAAAGAAGGGTGCCGCTTGTCATACAGATATGGGTACATTTTAATCGCGTCGATGAGGAGCTCGGCCGAGTACTTAAAGCTGGCCGTGGTGGCATTCGTCTGATGCGAGGAAAAATCCACGGAGGAACGTACGTGTCGTTCGTACCTCACGGCAGTAGGCAAGCGCAACGAGAAAAAAAAAAATAACATACGAGGTGGCCGGATGTAAACAAAGGCTGACGTCACTTCTGGTCTTCGCTGATTGGTTAAAGTGTTTTGCGACTGCAGTCGCGCGACCAAAAAATTGGTCAGGAAGCGACTGGCCAAAACAGTCGCTTTGCGACCGTTTGCGACCGTTTGCGACCGTTCGCGACTGCTTGCGACCAGTCGCAAATGGTCGCGCGACCGCGGCTAGTCGCCGGTGTGCACCAGCCTTTAAAGTTAGTGCATAGTAGACCAGCATTCACTATGCTAATTTTTGTCACTTTGCTGAGAAGCATTGTATCCGCTAAACACTTGCAAAGAATTTCGTGCCAATTCTTCTTGAAGTTGCTGACGAGGATGAGGAACTATATGCCTGATCTTGGTATGCATCACAGTTATTAGGCGATTAAAAACAAGTTGTTGTAATCGGTAGGAGCATCGAACGACCCACTCGTTACGCTATTCACATTGTGGGACGCCTTGATTTTCTTTTGTTGTTCTGAAACTCTTTATTACTTCTATTAACGCGATTCCTTTCCCTACATCAAACATGCCTAAGGCAAGTTAGCGAACAAGTCCCAAGCACCGGCCTGCCTCATTGTTAGAATAATGGGCTAGAAAGCAGCAGATCCGGGTCCAAGTCCCACTGCGTCCTTAGTACTAGTTCTTTTTTTTTTTCGCGATAGTGGTTACGGACTGCGGCGGCGTCGGAAAACTACGGCACCATGCGTGAACGGAGTTTTGATCACATAACAGCATTCGCTGTCATAATGAAATTCTCCTTCTTGGTCAGAGCGGTATTGCTGTAGACAATCTAGACAAACTGCTTGCAGAACTCCGTCCATTCAGATATTCCCAAGAAGGGTGCCATTGTGAGCTTTGGTAGCCTGGCTCCCATCCTGTCACATAGAATAGCGATTGTATGGGTAGCCCTCACCGACTTATCTTCTGCTTGCCTACTCTAAGTGCGTTTCTGCCTGCTTAGAAGCTCGGGTTGGGCACGCGTCGCGTTGTTCTTGCACTCCAGTACGGTATCGTACTCGGCTTTGAAGTCCTCGTCAGAGATGAAACTCTCCGATTCAGCGTTGATTTTCTTCAGCTCGCCGTTATTGGTTTTCATTCTCTCGTATATGGGAACGAGCTGCTCCTGCGTCGCGGAGTCGTTCCTCGTTGCCGTTCCGGCGTTTCAGAGATCGTCATGAACTCCGCTTCGCCTTGATCTTCATGTATTCCAGGTTGCTAGTAGCAGTCGGTTGGTCGATCCCAAGTCGACCGGCATCATAATTTGTGGGATATGTTGTGGAGTAGCAGTGGAAAGACTTGATTCCGTCGAAGTAGTTAAAAGAAGCTTTCATTTACCCTGAAGAGGGCATGAAGACACTGCTACTACTGAGATGTCATAGTATCTCTTCTAGTCCTTTTTGGCGCTTCATCTTCTGACAGTTCGGCAGCAGTTGTGATGAAATCAACACTATCTATCTATCTATCTATCTATCTATCTATCTATCTATCTATCTATCTATCTATCTATCTATCTATCTATCTATCTATCTATCTATCTATCTATCTATCTATCTATCTATCTATCTATCTATCTATCTATCTATCTATCTATCTATCTATCTATCTATCTATCTATCTATCTATCTATCTATCTATCTATCTATCTATCTATCTAATGGTGTGATAACTTTCCTAGGGCACTATGCAGAATCGGCCGAGTTTCGTGAAACTTAGGATATTCCCGAGCTCTGAGAGCCAACTGTGCAAAAAAGTCAAATTGACACCCCAGCACGCTGCGTTTCATTGGTTACGGTGGAACTTGTAATCACGTCAAGGACGGTCGACTGAGTTGGGTGGTGTTTTCAAACTAGAGGCATCTTGTTTCATATATCTGTCGTTCTACCGAGTGCAGAAGTGCACCCACGCAACAGAAGTGCCAGAAACGTTTAGTGATGCCATTTTTTATAAGTATGAAGTGTTTAATTTAATTTTCAAGCTTTTAGTGGCTGCAATAAGCCTGTTTTGGAACAATCAGCATGGTGACCTCTGAGATCAATACCGGCAGAGCGTCTTACAATATTGCGACCGCAGCCTATTTTGAGGTCAGGTGTTAATTGTCACGGTCAGCTGTACAATCTAGTGGGATGTTAGGCCAGGCTGTGCGTGTCGTCTTTGTTGTCATTGCCCGGTGGCACCCGAATCCGTGTGGCCGGATCATGAGCTGTTTGGCTGGACGGTACACCCGGCTAGTTAGGCCAGTACATGCTATGAACGCGCTAATCACGCCAAGTCATGCTAAGGCCGAGGTAATTCTGCCACATCTTAAGAAGACCGTGCTGATGAAGCCATGTAAAGCAAGAACAGGACTAACTAAAGCATGCTAGTTGATGAACATACTACGCAATGGTAATTAACGTCACGTTAACTATAAACAGGCTAAGTAAAACAATGCCCTACTAATAAGACGACAATTATTCTCCTGCTAATCAGCGTTAGTTTCATAGCTTTAAACTGATCATGGTCTCGCTGATTGCCCCCGAGATAATTGCCTTTTAAAAGAAGCCATATCAGTGAGGATTAGAGAGCTCAGCGGGATGGTCTTTAAGCCTCAGGGAATTAGTACAACAAAAATTAAGACAGAGATGACGCGGTATTCAAAGCTGGCCACGCACATGAGTAGACGACCAACGTAAAATGCTGCAAGAAGCTAGGTTATCACAAGCTCCTCTGTGGCTCCAGCCTTGGACAAGTAGTGTCAACTCACTAAATTATTTTATGTGCAAAGAGGCTGCGGCTTTGCGTTCACCGCATAAAACACTTGACAGTCACACCAGCATCGTCACAGTCACAAGTTTAACTCGAGCCTTCTCACGATCAACGAGTTTGTATTCGAGTTTACGCGTCAATCAGTATGATTGACACACACCCACGGTGAAGATCGGGTACGCCCACCACGTTTGCTCATGCCGAAAAGCAGTACTCACGCGGAGAAGAACGATAAATCTATCATCTTTATCGTGCAGACTATGCACACACACACACGCAGAAGTAAAAGTGATATAAATAAGGGGCTACGATCTCTCGCATTCAATTTCAGCGTGTTCACGACGTATTCAATCACAGCCGCGTTGTCACCATAATGTGAGTACTCCTAGTGACCACCCATTCTTATATTTATCACCAATATTTGATAGAAGCGAAAAAAGAAGCACTACAGTGCTGCGTGTGCATCGACAGCAGTGGCGTTCTTTTCACTGAAATCACATCACTTTTCTCGACGAAATGACGTATGATCAGCGCACTCGTAGGATTACCACTAATTGGCGTCCAAAAGATCGCGTCTACTACCACCAGTATACCCTAGGGTTAATCCCGATGCCGGTGGTTGCTCCTCACCTGTTTGTTACAGCTGTGGTGCTATGGGCCACATTTCTCGTTTTTGTCACAGGCGCCGCCAAAGAAGGTATGACTCACCCCCGACTTGGTGCAGTGCTGACCAAGAAAATTATGGTAACAATTGGCCGACTGATCCTCGTGCAACAACGCCTCAGGCTCGCCACCCAGAAATTCCTCTCGGAATTACAGCCGAAGTGACTCGTCTGCTTCAGACCACAGCCTGACGCGACCAACAAGTCGTCAACGACGCTTACGGTCACCACGGTGTCGTGCAACGTCCCCACCATCCTCAGAAGACTAGCCAGCGTGATCAATGGTGGTAAGGTCGGCGGCAAGCCTCCGTCTCTGCGAACAGGTCCTATTCTCATTATAATGATTAAGTACAAAATGCAGGCATTAAGTGACAGCGTAGCTTGAACTTTATTAGCGGATACTGCTACAGTTATAGTGATGAGCGTGACATTTAAAGAATGACTGGGTCGGGAAGTTATGTTCTCATGGAATGGTGATGTGATATTTCGGGGTGTCAGTGGAGAGTGCCTTGTTTCTCTTGGTATTTGTGTTCCTAGTGTTTCATTGAGGCAAGAAGATCTTATAACGAAATTTATTGTGCCACAGCGGTGCTCTGATGATGTGGTTCTTAGAATTTTCTTTCGGGATTGTGGTGCTTCCGTCAACTGTGGCACAGGTGAAATTACACTGAATAACATGCTTTTTACCTCACTTTCCGACACATTCCTACCAGAGGAAATCTATCTCGTTTCGAATCGCACGACTGTGTAAAAAAAGACGTACTTGAGTCATGTTTTCTCGTGACAGTTGCGAATGGTGCCTCAGACTTCTGGGCTTCCTCAGTCCCTGCTATCCACCTGCAATGGAGCTCACTGACTTCAATGAAGTGACTCAGCTCTTTGACTATTTTGAGCTAGGACGAGCAGTCCGCAAATGACGACCTCCTTTCTGAGCAGCTGCTCTTAAGGATGATCAGCAAGACATTGCCCTCAAATGAGCGCCACGCTCTCGCACAAGTCTTTTTGACACATATCTTTGATCAATTTTGCACAGGGAAACATGGAGGCTTCACTGCTAATATCTCGAGCTCATCACAGAATCGACACCAGGTCTGTACATCCCATTCGGCAAAAGCCTTACTGCGTGTCTTCGGAGGAGAGAACAGATTTAGCAGAGCAGATTACAGACATGTTAAAACAAAGGGGTGGTTCGAAAATCATCAAGTCTTTTGGCAGTACCAGTGTTCTTAGTAAAATAGAAGGATGGGATTTTGGTGGTTCTGTGCTGTATATAGAAAACTAAATGCTGTCACCAAAAATTAGGGGACCTTATACTTCGCCTTTAGGAGTTGAACGAATTAGCGACATCCTGTTTGTAGTGTGTACTTCAAAGATGATGATGTGATGATGCCTCCGCTATGGCTCTTGCCCCTTCAGGAGGATTGGCCAAGAAGTTAGGATATACGTCATCAATATACGTAATTGAGGATCATGCGTAATCCTTACTGAAGGAGGACAAGTCATCCGTAAATACAGAAAGAGCTAGATCAAGAATTCTTTTTTGCCATTGCAACCAGACAGAATAATATATATATATGTTGAAATGAAATTGAAGTATTTTCGAACAGGTTTCTTATTGAGGTTCAGAATTTGCTTATTAATACTATAATAGCAAATATAAAAATAGGAATTTACAGGCACATTTGTTTTGTTTCATAAGCCTAACTGCAATCGGCATCAAAGGCGTTCCTATGGCTGTAGCCAGAACCGAAGCACCAAAGGAGAGTATATACTCAGTGGAGAAAGACAGCCCAAGGTTAGTGAATGGGATGACTAGGAGACGTTTTCCTAATAGTCTATAACGGCGACCTGACAAAAAATATGAGTCTATTGATTCTAGATCTGTACAAAAGCTGCATAGAGGAGACCACTTTTTGTTTAACGCACAGAGGAAATCTCCCACCAGCACCACCTTGGAGGTTAAAATGTAACAATTGTTACACACTACGACTACGACGGACTAACGGTTGCCGCTATAATAAGCTTCGTCCCTAAAAGCGAGCGTGCGTGGACTACATGCAGAAACGTAGTAAGAAAGGGCGTGCTTGAGCTTCGTAGCCTTGGCTGTGCGGCCACAGAAAGGTGTCGCCGTGTATAGCAAGTGGGCTTCTAGCAGTTACTCGAAGAGTGTTGAGAAAAAGCTCTGAAAGGCTGCTCTACGAGCTTTATCTGTGAGAGTGCAGCGCGTTCCGCGCATGCCAGGGGTTTTTTTGTTGCTTCGATTTACTACTCTTTGGCATGGTCTTCTCCTTGTGACCATTAGTGAACGTTGTCGCCAGTTTGTTGCAGATGCTGTAGAAAAACTGGTTCGTCTTTGCAATTCAGTTTCGCTACTCAACCACATGTCACCCTCAGTCAAATGAACTCGTACAACGCGAGAACAGAACTCTAGCATGCTGACTTTGTATGTATCTTCCGATCACGAAGGCTGGGAAGACGTTTTACTCATCAGTTACGTTTACAATACTGTAATGCATGAGACAACTGACCACAGTTTTTTTAGGGGCGAAGCTCCTTATAGCGGCACCCGTTCATCCCTCGTAGCCGTTGTAGTATGTAACAAGTGTAACATTTTGACCTGCAAGGTGGTGCCGCTGAGAGATTTCTTCTGTGCGTTGTTGATCAATAAAAATAGTGCTCAATATACATGCCAATGACTGCTAATGGGGAATGAGAGACAGAAGCATTCGGCTTTTTGTTAACACGCACGCTGCGATCCCCATTAGCAGCCACTGGCATGTACATTGAGCACTATCTGACAAGAAAGGTTTTCTACGTTATACTCGCTGGGTGTAACCTCCTTAGTTTTAGAAAGGTTTAGTGAGCGTTGAGCCGCAGTGCCATGAATACAATAAACTAGTATATACCGTGAATGAACTCCAGGTGGTTAAAGGTAAGAAGTAGACCCGAAGCGCAAGCCGTAAGAAAGTGTGTGTGTGCCACCTCTCGTTTAGTCCTTGGAATGTCCGCTGGATGGCGGTGCTTCTATATGAGGAATATATGATGAATATAGATGGTGGTACTTAGAGAGTTGATTAGATGGATAAATGGACACACAGGCAGATGCATGAATGGACGCATGAACGGACGCAGGGGTGGATGCATGGACAAACGCAGGGACGGACGCACCAACGAGCGGATGGACGCATGAACGGTCACACAGACGGACGCACGATGAACGGAAGCAAAAGCGAATGGACGGAGGAATGTTTCGCCCCCCTCTCCATCATTCACTCCGTGAATATGCTGCCATTTTTTTAGATGCGGAAGCATCTTATACTCGCGCCTTGTAGTGCGCCGTCCGCGCCGTCCGCACCGCTTCTCGAACATACGACAGCTGACGCGCGCGCATGCGTCGTCGCGCCATCGCCCACTCTTCCACCATCTGTGCATCCCTTCCTCCTCTACACACCGCGCGTGCTTCACTCCTCCACCATCTGTGCACCCTTCCTCCTCTACACACCGCGTTCGACATCTACAATTCTCCTGATTCTCCAGTGGACGCGCATGTGGCGTCGCGCTTCGAGAACATTCCACAGCTGACAGTGCATGCGCCGTCGAGCTGTATATATACTCAAGGTCGGCGCTCGCTCGCTCAGTTGCCGCTCGTCGGTTGGTTTGTACGGCGCGTCGACGTCCAAGGTCGCGGTGAAATGAATTTTAACGAATCCACAAACACAATGATCGACGTCCCTTCGACCAGCGCCGCCCTTTCGCATACGTGTGTACGTGTTCACTCATTTAACACCCCCTCCTACAACCACGTTAACCAATTCAGCCATCGACCCAAGTAAGTCGCAATTTAACACCCCATTTCACAACCACGTTAACCAATTTAGCCATCGACCCAAGTAAGTCGCACTTTAACACCCCGTTAACCAATTATATGCTCCGCATCCTCCTCAGTGTTCCCCCGAGGGAAGCTGCGGGCAATTTTTTTATCTCACGTTTACACGCACGTCCACCGCTAAGCTGCAACGACACAATACTACTATAAGACTTTAGTAGCTAGTGCTCTGTCGCCTAGACGCTAACCCCCATATACAGAAACGCTGCTTGACTTGATCTTGACTTGCCATCGACTTCAATGCAGCACAAACGCGTTTCAAACGCTATGTCTTTAGGCGGTGCCAAGGCAGCACAAACGCAGAGACGCATTGTGAACGCGCTGCATGGAAGGCGGTTTGAAGTCAAGTTCAAGTCAAGTAGCGTTTCTGAATACGCTGGTATGTCTTGCAGAAGAAGACCAACGTCTCCGTATTGTGACCGTACTGTAGCATCGCCGCCCCAATCTAAGGACTGCTATGACAGCCGACATCAGTCTGTCATGTACAACAGAGGAGAATTTGTGTGAATGTAGGGCCCACAACGCAAGCGTGACTTGTGCGAAAAGTTATAACTCCGGTGCACGGGCCAATTCATAATTGTTGATCGCTTAAGCAATTTCACGTAAGCTTTAGCGATTTGACGTAAGACCCTTCTTCGCTCTTATTTAGGCTGCAGGCAGCAATCTGTAAAATATAAATGGTACTCTTCCGACATATAAGCAATTTTGTCCGGGGTGCTCCACCAGAAAGTATTTTGGGTTCATTTCTCTTTAAACTGTACATAATTTACATTGTAAATAGTGATAAGATCACCAAATTTGTAATTTACGCCGATGACATGACTTCGCTTTTCTCTGGTACAGAACTGTCAGACATAATGAATAGAGTGAAGAATACATTAACGCATTAGGAGAACCCGTTACGCATTATATAAATACTACCAAAACAAAAACTGTAGTTTTCCGGCCAAAAAATCAGGGATGTGGTCACCGATGCTGTTCTAGTGTATAACAGTGCACTTATAGATACAGTTAAAGCATTTAAGATACTCAGTGTAATATTTTCGGAAACGATGTTGTGAACGACCATGTAAATGACGTAGCACAAACGTTATCTAGCATTGTAGGAATAATGTACGTAAACAGACAAACTCTCCTCACGTATGTTAAGCTTCTTATTTATAATTCGCTATTTTACTCAAACGTAATTTAGTGTCATCATGTGTGGGAATCAACGGGATTCAAAAATTTACAAATGTTATCCGCACTTTAGAAAAAATACTAGGGCATATATGTATAATGTGGCTTTCGATCATATTTCAGCATGGCTTTTCCATAGGCGTCATATTCTACGTATTCTCTCTCCATATTCTTACCGACTCTCTATAGTATAGAAATCACAAATTAAAGATAACGGCCATTTCCTTGCTCGATTA